AGGAATAAGAAATAGTCCCTTCTTTCAAAAAGTTTTCTATCTAGATTGGGAAATGAGCCAATGATTCATAAATGAAAAGCAGGATGTAGAAATTGGTATGTAGAAGCAGGTATGGGTAGGGTAGATAGAGTCAAAAATATGACTTAGAGTTTGAACCTAGAGAATAAAGAGAAAAGAAATGGGGAAACCAAGAGACCACCACAGCCTTTTGCAGGAAGGTGTTGTGGTCAGTTCAGGAGACTTGGGGGCAAATGTAGAAGTGTCCCTTACCCTGTAGAAGGAGATGTGGTGGTTTATGAGAAAACAGTACGTTGTAAAAATCTTAATGCTATATACAATAAAACCTAAATTTAGAATTTAGTACCTTAAAAAGATCAATTTTGAGTTCATAGGTTCAGCATATTTGATTAATTAAATCTTTGTCTTGTCATTCCACTTTGCACTGACTGTATAGAACTCAACTTCATTATTTATCCAAAAAGATCTTGTTCCTTTCTTCAACTGCCTTTTCAATCAGTGATCTCCTTAAACAAAGCATAAATACTGGAAGGGAATAATTGAGTAGATGACACAGTGAAAGGCCCATGAATGGTAATTCAGAAAGCATCTGTATAAAAAAAAGGTGTTGATTTTGAACAAAGTAGGATCAAACTTTTAGATATCCTCAGATGGCTTACATTACCAGATTATTTACTTAGAATCACAAATTAACTTGATTTTACTACCTTAGTCAGGCTGTTATAACAAATTACCATAGCCTGGGTGGCTTAAACAACAAGCATTTATTTCTCACAGTTCTGAATGCGGGGAAGCCCAAGATCAAAGCACCGGGCAGATCCGGTGTATGGGTGTTATCAGTGAGGGCATTCTTCCTGGTTTTGCAAATGGCTGTCTTCTCACTATAGCCTCACATAACTGGAAGAGCAGGGAGGCAAGGCAAGCGCTTTTGTCTCTCCTTTTAAGGTCATTAATCCCATTCATTAGGGCTTCACCCTTATGACCTAATCACCTCCCAAAAGCCCCACCTCTAATAATATTACGGTGAGGGTTAGAATTTCAACATATGAATGAGGGGAGAGGAGGGGTTCACATTCATTCCATAACAGTCACCTGATTCTGTAAAATCTCTTGTCCAGTGGAGTATACTAGCGCCAATTGAAGCATACAGTACATCCAAATTAGCATTTCAAGGACTTGTGGTTTAATACTTAATATTTGAATACCATCGTAAAATGAACTTTTGTATCTGTTACCTATTTTGACCCACCCACCCGGCCACACACACGCACGCGCGCGCGCGCACACACACACACACACACACACACACTCCTGAGAGACAAGGCATGGACTTGAGCAAAGTGATTATTACCGGTGCATGCCATGAAGACACAGCTGGTTAGATGCCAGGCTTGGGCTATCAAAGGCCTTGTGCTTCCTGCTCCTGTGTTCTCCCCTTCACAGCAGCATGCCCGACCTCTGATACCTTTCTGCTATGTTTCCCTCTAGCTGGGCTGCAAATGATGAGTGTTACTTTTTTTTTTTTTTTTAAGATTTATTTATTTATTTATTTGACAGAAAGAGAGACACAGCAAGAGAGGGAGCACAAGCAGGGGGAGTGGGAGAGGGAGAAGCAGGCTTCCCGCTGAGCAGGGAGCCCGATGCGGGGCTCGAACCCAGGACCCTGAGATCATGACCTGAGCCGAAGGCAGATGCTTAATGACTGAGGCACCCAGACACCCCGATGAGTGTTACTTTTAACCTCACTCTCATTCAACTCTTTTTTCTGTGCACTCTCTTAACTTCTGTGTCTTCTAATACCAGATATTAGCCCAGTGGGTATGGTCATTTTCGAGACTTATTCAAATGACTAGGAATCAGATTATAAGATAAAATTCTGTACTCAAAGGAAAGTAAAGATTATAATATAATTCTTATTGTGGATCATTTAAATCATTTAATTTTTTACTTAAAATTTGATACGCTATCATAGGGAGAAGCATGCAGCTGATAAGAGCAATCATTGCTCATCTGGTGATTTAATCTGTCTGCTGTGTTAATGAGATATTTGATAACCTGTATTTTTAGAAGATGTCTGATTTCTTTTTGGCACAAATGATATTTTTCTTTTAAAAAGAAAATACTTCTAAGTAAAATAAATCTGATTTTTTTTTTGTCTTGTCTTGTTTGGCTTTTGATTTTAGAACTAAATTATTTCATCCTGAATTTGGATACTTTGAGGGCAGTCTGGCCTTGGCGTAAACAAACCTTGCTTAACAAACTGACAATGACCATTTCCTTTATTCAAAGCTATCTCTGTTTGTTACCTTTGTTGGTAGCCTCATTATTTTAACATCAAACATGAATGTTTTTCTTACTTTCTTATTTCATTTTCACAAGATTACAGAGATTTGTCCTACTAATTTTTGTATAACAGGCCGTGAAAACAACAAATACACACACACACACACACACACACACACACACACACATAAGTATAGATATATTTGGGAGGGCTCTGATTACAAAATTAGAGATTATCAAGTGATAAAAATTCTAAGTGTCTTTTGGGGTTTGGTTTCTGAAAAATATGTCAGCTCTAAATTGTGTGTTCTTAAGAAAATCCAACCATATACTAATGAGTTTGTTTGTTTGTTTTCTTCAGGGGAAAATAGTTCATCAAAGCTTAAATATTATGAATTCCTTCTCACAGAAGGTAAAGATACAACAAATACGATCTTTGTCAGAAGATGTGCGATTTTACTACAAACGATTACGGGGCAATAAGGAAGACTTGGAGCCAGGAAAAAAGTCAAAGGTTTGAGAACATTGTATTTGAGGATTCCCATCTGTTAGTATTGTGTTACTGTGACCTTCTGTGGATTTGGGATTCATGGTTCTCCTGTGCCTCTTTGTAGATTGCAAACATTTATTTTGATCCTGGACTGCAGTGTGGGGATCATTGCTATGTTGGCTTGCCTTTTCTATCCAAATGTAAGTTAACTTGCTGTTCTCTCTCATCCCCTTCACTCCACCCAAAATATTCTTTGATGAAAGGCTGCCACTTTCAAAGTCCATCTCTATCCCTTGGTACTATGGAAATCATCTGAGGGGAAATTGACAAGTGGATATAGATTATAGGGCTGAATTTGTCATAATGTATGTTTCCTTGTTTTAGCTGAACCCAAAGTACAGCCTGGTGTAGCCATGCAGGAAGACACTTGGGATGCTGACTGGGATTTGCATCAAAGCCTATTCAAAGGATGGATGGGAATAAAGGAAAATTCAGGTCATAGGTGGGTGGTTTTACTTTAAGTATGTTTAGCTATCTTTACAAGTTTGAAATGTCTCTGTTGATACTACTTTCTAAATGTTACTCTTAAATTAGGTTCTTTTACTTCTCTATAGCTAAGAAAATAACGCCTCATCTTCAGAAAATTATTAATAAGGCATCTTGAATTGCCATTTTAATTGCATGTTGCTCAGAAATATACACACTACCATTTTTCTCTTTTCTCCCGTGCTCTAGATACTTCCTTAAAATCAAAGAACTATTTGAAGTTATCTTTATAGAGGATGCATACACTGTTCACCTTAGATACAGCCATTTGCGTAAGAAAGTTTTTACCTACCACTGACCTCTGGTAAAAGCAAAGAAAACATTTCCTAGGTTTAAGTCTACAGTGGAGACCAAGTGTCCATTTGCTCATTGTGAAAAGAACTGCCTCCTCCCTTTCCAAGTGCTGAGCCCTTAGGGGGCACCCAGAGCCCAGTTCACTAAGGCTCAACCATACGTCATTGGCAGGCAGAAAACATGCTAATGACAAATCACTACCATACCTGGATTCAAAAGCAGAAACACACTTCCTCAGCACTGTAGAAGTACGATCTTTCTTGTGCTCCAGAAGAGAATTTGATTAGAATATTGATAATATAATGACTGATAAAACTGATCGTCTTCACTTGGCTATTTTGGATGTATTTATCAGTATCAAAATAATTTATAGTACCATAAATTTTTCAAACCATTAGTGATTGAATCTGAGGGTTTCATTTATCTGAGCTATCTACTATCAAAAGTTTTCTTAAGGCAAAAGAGTTAAATTTCTACTTTAAAGTGGTGAAAATAAGTAGAGAGGGACCTCTAATGAACTCACTAGTTCTTCGTCCCCTACATTTCCATCACAGACCTTACAATGTATAGACAGTCTCCAAATGTTAACATTATGAATAGATAACTTGGAGCGTTGCTGAGGAACCTCTTCACCTCCCACCCACCAAAACCTGTACCTTCCTCCTTGTGTGCCCACCACTCCACAGCCAAGAAGCTGGGCTTCCCGTCTGCCCCATAGCATCATGTCCCAGGTGCACAGTGACTGTGGCATTCTCCCTGCTCCTGCCTTTGTGTTACCTTGTCACTGTGCGTGTTAAAGAGAATTTCTGTTCCTGCCTTATAAAACCTGTACTCTTACCAATACTAGAGTATCACAATTCAGTAGTGTTGTGGGTTAAAGTAGGCTTCAGTGTTTGGGCCCAGGGACCTTAGCCCTGTGTGTAATATTGTTTCCTTAGGGAATATGTTCTTGAGTTCTAAACATCTGGCTTATGAATACTGGTAAGTAGGGAAATATTCAAATGAGGTCCTGAATATTGCTGATAACTTTACATACATCTGCACAAAACCCTCATATGTATTACCACTTCAGCTGACATCTTCATTGCATATCAAGATTGTCCTTCATTTTTTTTTTTTTTTACCTCGTGGGGAAAAAGCCATATGCACTGCCTTCTCATAAGTTCTACTGATGAATATTCATCAGGGCCCTTTCTAGGTCTTTCCACTAGCCTGCAAGATCCTTTAGGATCCCTTAACACCATATGTTATCTGTCCTTCACATATTCAGTACAAAAACAACACAGGTGATGAGTGATAGAGACTTTGGCAACTCCTTGTGCCAAAACAGAGACATCTTTATACATGTCTATTAAAAGCGTAATAAAATGTCAAAACAAATAAACCTGTACTTATTCCGGGCCAGAATAAAATTTCTCAAGTATACAAGCCTAATAGAATTTCTTATATTCAGAAAACTCAAATATTTCATTTTGATATAGTAACTAACAAATTATTTTTTTCTAGATTGAGTGCTTTATTTGAAGTAAATACAGACCTTCAAAAAAATATACTATCAAAAATCACTGCTGAGCTCTCCTGGCCTTCTATAATTAGCTCACCCCGACACTTGAAATTTCCACTTACTAATACAAACTGCTCCTCAGTAAGTATTCAGAGTGACATTGATTTTTGGAAATTCATAATAGTGCTATAAAGTATCTACTCTTACTTTTAACTATGGAAACCTTTCATTTACTGTTTTGTTAACTTTGTTTAAGGAAGAAGAGATTACTTTAGAAAATCCTGCAGATGTTCCTGTCTATATTCAATTTATTCCTCTGGCTTTGTATTCGAATCCTTCAGTCTTTGTAGATAAGTTAATATCAAGGTAAGCACTGCTTTAAATAATCAAAATGTTCTATATTAGCATTGAATTCTTATCTTACATATTTAAAACTTTATTGAAGCTTATACAGTAATAGATTGGGCTTAGAGAAATTCTAGATCCGTAATTAAAATTAAGAGGACATTCTGGGGAAAGATACTGATAATGCGTTAAGTATCTAAAAGAGTTTTCAGTTTAAGACAAGAAAAAGTAATGTTGAACTCCTTTCTAAATAAAAATATAAAAAAGTGAAAGATTATAAAGAGAAAGCAAGTGGAACCTTTTAAATATTTTAGTTTTAAAAAATGAACAAGGGGCGCTTGGGTGGCTCAGTCGTTAAGCATCTGCCTTCGGCTCAGGTCATGATCCCAGGGTCCTGGGATCGAGCCTCCGCATCAGGCTCCCTACTCCACGGGAAGCCTGCTTCTCCCTCTCCCACTCCCCCTGCTTGTGTTCCCTCTCTCGCTGTGTCTCTGTCTCTGTCAAATAAATAAATAAAATCTTTTTTAAAAAGTTTTTTTTTAATTTTTTTTAAATAAAAAAAAAATGAACAAAATATTAACTATAAGTTGTGGCCTCTAATTTTTGGAAGGCTATTCATCTGATAATATTGACCTCAGAATCTGCCAAAAGGTAATTTGCAAATAAAGTACAAACTTGATAATTACGCTAATTACCCTTTAATTATGATGCTGTTTATGAAGAAATATATGTACTTTTTTTTATTTTAGGTTTAACTTGAGTAAGGTGGCAAAGATTGATTTAAGAACACTAGAATTCCAAGTCTTCAGAAACAGTGTAAGTATGCAAGCTTCATACTATCCCAAAGAAATAACTCTATGATATGATCAGTGCAAATGTGGAGGAAAACTATTGACTTATCCTTAAATTTGTCTGAAGGGCAAGTTACTGAAGAAGCCAGGGCAGTCCAATAATTATTTTAGAGGCAAAAAAACCCAGGAGGAATGGATGGGATTTAGATCAACATGAGGCACACTGGGTAGAAGGTTCCTGTTTGCAGGCATCACTTCTTGAGTCCATAAAGGTTTATAATAATGGCTACCAGAAACCCTGAGAATATATAAATGAGGTATATATTAACATAATTTATTTTGATTAAGCTTCAAAATTTTGAGCTTGATCATTTAACTGTTTATTTTGAATACTTCCAAATAAAATTGTAAGCTCCGTTAATGCCAGACCCATAGTTGTTGAACAGATTAAACAAACTCATGGGAAGCCCTTCAAATGGTTCCTTGGTGTGTAGGAAGACTGTGGTGAATGTTGACTAGATAAGTCAGCCTGTGGCTAAGTAGTTCAGGAAAGAAAAGCAGTGGCAAGGTTTTCAGTATTTGGGGGCTGTATTGAAGAATGCTTCCCAGTATTGCATGAGCATCCAGTATGTGTCAGCATTACACCAGGTACATTCACATTGATAATTTCATGTAATCATTACAAGCAGCCAGGCTGAGCAGTTACTAACGATCCCAAGGGGAAAAACAAGGCTCAGGAAAAGGAAGGAACTTGCCCAAGTTCATACCTGTGATAACTGGCAGGGCCAAATTCAGGTCTAGTTCCCTCAGATCCCAGAGCCCTCGCCCATGCTGTCATGCCACATGGTCATTGCTGATTAGGGGTCCCGAATTAGCCTGCCAAGCCAGATATTCTGTAGTTCTTGAAATACTTGTGTTCTTTCCCATAGTTTTGTGTTTTAGTCTGTAAGGCATGTATTAGCTAAACCTTCGTAGAATAGTAGGTTTTTATACTGTCTGTAAGTCAATTTTGTATAAGAAAGTAATTTTCAATATATCTTTTTTCTGCCAAATAATGGAACACCAGACTGAAATGTAGACAGTCATATATTCTAGTCTCATGCCCTTCTCTTGGAATCTTTTCATGGTCGGTTTTTTCCATGCATAAAATGACAACCTAATAAGCTCAAGGATTTCTAGATTCCAAATCATTAGAAAGCTCAATAATCAGAAATTCCTTTTGCTCTGCTTTTATAAGGGAGGAAATACACATAAGTAAATGAGCTAATATTTACCTTTTTTCTTATCAAGTACAAGTTCTTTAGTGTTATTTACAAGGTATAAAACACTGAAGTGTAGGCACTATGAGAGGTAGGAAGATGAATAAGAATACTCTAGATCTGGGGCACCTGGGTGGCTCGGTCATGATCCCAGGGTCCTGGGATCGAGCCCCGCATCGGGCTCCCTGCTCCACGGGAAGCCTGCTTCTCCCTCTCCCACTCCCCCTGCTTGTGTTCCCTCTCTCGCTGTCCTCTCTCTCTGTCAAATAAATAAAATCTTTAAAAAAAAAAAAAGAATAATCTAGATCTCAGACATGTATTTTAAATATAAAATTCTAGGTCTTAGGGTAAAGTCAGGATAAATTTTATCACAGTTATCTGTAGTGGTTATAAAACCTATGGTTTTCAATGGATTATGGATCACCACATCAAAAACCAGTGGTGTATTGTATAGTGACTAACATAACATAATAAAATTTAAAAAAATAATAAATAATAAAAAAAATAAAACCTATGATTTTCAAAGTATTTGGTCTCAGGACTCCTTTACAGTCTTAAAATTATTCATGACTCTGAAGAGGTTTTTTGTTCATGTGGGTTACATCTGTCAGTATTTACCATATTAATTAAAACTGAGAGATCTTTTCTATAAAAGGTATATGAAAAGATGTTCAGCATCACTAATCATTAGGGAAATGCAAATGAAAACCACTATAAGATATCATCTTACACCTGTTAGAATGGCTATTACCAAAAAGACCAGATATAACAAATGCTGGTGTGGATGTGGAAGAAGAGTAGGAATATAAATTGGTACAACCACTATGGAAGACAGCATAGAGGATCCTCAAAAAATTAAAAATAGAACTACTGTATGAGCCAGCAATTCCACTTCTGGGAATATATCCAAAGGAAACAAAAACACTAACTCAAGATATCCATACCCCCGTGCTCATTGCAGCATTATTTATAATAGCCAAGGATGGAAAAAGTCTAAGTGTCCATCAATGAGTGAATGGATAAAGAACTTGTAGTGTGTGTGTGTGTGTGTGTGTATACACACATACACAATGGAATGTTATTCAGCCAAAAAAACAAGGAAATCCTACCATTTATGACAACATGGAGGACCTTGAAGGTATTATGCCAAGTAAAATAAGCAGAGAAAGGCAGTACTATATCTCACTTATATGTGGAATCTAAAAAAGAAAAAAACCCAAACTCCTAGAAAAAGAGATCAGACTTGTGGTTACAGAGGTAGAGGGGTGAGGGGAGAGGGAATTGGAGAGAAGTGGTCAAAAGGTATAAACTTCCAGGTACAGGACGAGTAAGTGCTAAGGATTTGATGTACAACGTGTTGACTAGAGCACTGCTGTATAATAGATGTTAAGAGAGTAATCCTAAGAGTTCTCATCACAACGAGAAAATTTTTTTCCTTTTATTCTTCTTTCATTCTTTTCACTGTATCTGTATGAGAAGGTGGATGCTGGCTGAACCTGTTGTAGTAATCATTTTACAATATATGTAAATGAGACTGTTGTGTCTTAAACTTACACAGCGATGTATGTCAATTATTTCTCAAAACTGGGAAAAAACAGAGATCTTTAAAATATTGATTTGATTCATATAAAGTAATAATAATAAACTCATTCCATTTTAACATTGATAACATAAAAATTTAAAATAGCTGTATTTTCCCAAAAAGACTTTTTGCAAGAAGAGCAGATTGTTTTACATTTTTACAGATCTCTTTAATGGCTCTCAGACCTAATAGATAGATTTCCACTGCTTCTACATTTAGTTTTTCATGATATATTTTTTTGGTTGAAGTATATGACAAATATCTGACCTGACCTGGCACAGAGATGTAGTTACAAAAAAAGAGTATCTTAATTGCCTTTTTAATTAATTCTAACAGCATGCATCAGTCATTCGGAAAATATTGGTTCACCAAGATAGGCAGAGCTTCCAAATGTTGACATGATTCATTCTGCAAAATCCCAAAAAATCATATTCAGTAGTTTTTCCTTAATTGGACAGATGCACTTCATTTTTGTGAAAATGTCTACCAAATACCCAAGTCTGAACAACCACAGATTGACTGTCAATCATTCTTTCAACTATACATGGTTTTCCATGAGAAAAACAGCTATAATTCAGTTTGCATCTCAAATGGTAGCTTTTCAAGACAACATGGTGCTTCAGTAAGCAGCAGGAGTGCTTTATGCATACTTCCCATTTTATCAGACAATACTAAAAGTGCACATGCCCAAAGATTGAGATTTATTAAGATTAATATCGTTAACTGCTTAATCAGTAAGAATTTTTTTTTTGCAAGTACATGGCAGTGAAGAAGACAGTAGCTATAGGGAAGTTAGATACCACTGTCTTACTTTAAGCTGAAGGGTCAGTTGTTTTACCCGCCGTTGATTTGCTGACCGCTGGTGCAAATGTCAACACAGTGGAAAAGGCAGATAGCATCTGTCAGTGTTATGAAGGTAATTTTGACATCATGGATATCCTGAAAAGATTCTGAGATCCCTGAGGGTCCCATTGGTCACTCTGTAAAGAGCCACTACTACAGAATTATTGAGAATTAATTGAGGCCTTAATGATATCCGTGAGGCATCACAACATCCTCAAATGTTTGCCAAGTCATCAGAGTTTAAATTAGGTAGTGTTTATTGGGAATATATGTATGGTATATAATGTGTCCATCAATTACTCAGAATAGTTTATCTTAAAGAGAACTTATTGACCAACCACTTTGGAGCAGTCAGGATATTCTGTTATCCTAGTAGACATTGACAGAGAAGAATGTTAGATGCAGAAGAAAGTGTTTTGCCTCAGAAGCATGAGTTAAAAAGTAGTGGCTCCATTAAGTCTACTGACTGTAAGTTATGTTTGTAGAATCATGCTAACACAGGTAGATAGATTATTTATCTATCTATTTATCTATCTATCTATCTACCTAAAACATATCTAGATATGTTTTAAACCTAACTATGCCAAGTAGAGCTGAAAGTCATGCAAACCTCACTCCCCTTCCACATGTTAGCAGAGCTGTGAAGAGCAGTGGACATTTGTAGCCAAGTGTTGCCAACCCTTCCCCCCAAAAAAGTTTAAACTTAATGTTGCTTAAAAATCAGACAGTGTATCCTTAAGTGTGAACTATGATATTTTTAATAAAAAATGAATACTTAAATCTTACCTGTAACTGGCTGTCAAGAAGCCATCTTTTGGTTATTAAACTAAGCTCTTATTTAAACTTTCAGTCATAAAGTGTTAAACAGTAATTATGTGCTGAGCTTTCAAAATAAAATTCAAAGATAGATTGATATGAGTTGGAAATATTTTTACAAATAAAAAAAATCGGAGACACCCTGAAGACCCTTCAGCTGATACCCATCAGAGGGGGAAGGAGCAGGAAAACTGGCTGAAAGTGGGAACAGCAACCATAGGACTTCGGGGTGCTGGGTGCTGGTTGCACACCTGTTTGCTTTGTGCTAAAACATTTGAGCTATGCTTCTTAGCTTTGTGTCCTTTTTATATACGTGTATTACATTTCAAAATTTTTTAATGTTAAAAGTAAAAAGACTTCTATACAAAAACAAATGCTAGTACAAATAATGGGGACTTTGGTGATGTGGGGATCAAAGCCCTTTTGGGGACTTAATGCACAATGAGAAGGGTCATCACTGGTTGCCCACTTCTGTTTGCAAGCTAACTAATATCTAAATCATGAGGAGTGAAATTGTTCACACATTTAATCAATTCAGGAAACTAGTACTGGACTGTGGGTGGGGTAAACTATAAAACTTCTATCCAGAGAATATAGTAGTAACTTCTCTTGTTTACCCAATGATTCAAGGCTCATCCACTGCAGAGTTCAACAGGATTTACAGAAGGCCTCTCTCGACATTTAATTTTAAACCTAATTTTAAAACCTGGAGAAAAGAAATCTGTCAAAGTAAAGTTTACTCCAATTCACAACAGAACTGTTTCTTCACTAATCATAATCAGGTAGTTTCTGTAATTCAAGTGTGCATTGATTTTTATTACTTTTTCAGAAGTCCTTACTTGATTTGTTTTAATATGTGTTTGTGTGTCTAATTTATTTAATAGGGTATTCACTTTGTCCAAAACACGCACACCAACATACCACACCTGATGAAATGTACCTCTGTGATTACGTTTATAACTTGAAAACCTGAATAGTGTTCTTACTGTACCATGTGTGACTCTTAAAAATGAAAAACTCATGCATCTCTCCGTGTAAAGATTTTTAAATTCTTAAAGTGTAAATGTTTCACTCTGAAGTTTAGTATATTCATTTCTACATGGTTTATAAAAAAAAAAAGTAAAAAATATAGATCAATTATCTATAATTTATTTATGTGAATTTGTAATTTATCATGCAAATTTAATGGGAGAAAATTCTGTATTTCTTGCATAGAAATAACCTGACTGTGGTGGATGCTGTGATGGTCCAAGGACAAGGAACAACTGAGAACTTAAGGGTGGCAGGCAAGCTTCCAGGTCCAGGGAGTTCCTTACGCTTTAAAATCACAGAAGCATTATTGAAAGATTGTACAGATAGTAAGTATTCCTAACAGTTTCAAGGGCACAACTTTCAGTGTTCACTTCCAAAAGTATAATTTCCCAAAAACGAACAGTATTTCTGTACATGCACATGTATATATTAGTGATGAATACTTAAGATTTTTAATGAAATACCTGACTTGCTTTCAGAGTTGATTTGGATCTTCAAAGATTTAAAGGTTCAATGTTCGTTGCATGTCTTAGATGATTTACTCTGAGTACGAAAAATAAAGCATAATTAGGGGCACCTGGGTGGCTCAGTCAGTTAAGCATCTGCCTTCAGCTCAGGTCATGATCCCAGCGTCCTGGGATTGAGCCCCACATCGGGCTCCCTGCTCAGTGAGGAGTCTGCTTCTCCCTCTCCCACTCCTCCTGCTTGTATTCCCTCTCTCACTATCTCTGTCAAATAAATAAAATCTTATAAAAAATAGAATAAAAAAATAAAGCATAATTAAATTTTTGCTATCTAAAATGACACAACAAAGTGGAGTACTTCCTGATAAAGTCTGGGTGCCAGCTAACCTCTTTGGCGTGAGGAGGTGGCTCATAATGTTCTGCATATATTTATGGTGAATGTCATAATCCTTTGGACCTGCAGCACATGCCAGCAAGATTTATATTCACTCTTGATTTTCTTTCCTTTAGGTTTGAAACTAAGAGAACCAAATTTCACATTGAAAAGAACATTTAAAGTAGAGAATACGGGGCAACTTCAGATTCACATAGAAACCATTGAAGTCAGTGGGTACTCATGTGAGGGATATGGCTTTAAAGTTGTTAATTGTCAAGAGTTTGCACTAAGCGCCAACGCCTCTAAAGACATAATCATACTGTAAGTATTTTCTTACGAGGTGTAATGAATCACTGGCTTCTCATCAACCTCAAACACTACAGTTGTTCAGACTGTGCAGAGATATGTTTTCATACTCACAAAAAAGGTCTTTATCCACAAATATGCTCATATGATTTGTTTCTATTTTATCTTCAGTTATTTCTTCATATCTTTGTTTTCAAAATTATGAAACTTCCTGTATATCCAAAGTGGATCAGATAATCTTAGAAACCAGTTTCAAAATTATTTCCAGGGTTGTGTTAAAGCATAAGGTTGTTGGTAGGAAATTGATTATAAATTCAGTCTCAGTAACAGAGCGGTCCCCGCATCACACATGTGCAGTTTTTCCATGTTCTACAATGGAGGAATGTGTAATGTTTTGGTCAGAAGACAGTGTTAATGCCTGTATCGGGAATAGCTGTAGCCTAGTTTAACAATTAATTGATAACTTCTTAGATTATAGGCTTTATATAATAAAATGTAACCTCTGTCCCCTTAATTGATAATTTCATGATCTTCAATAGACATTCAGTACATAATGATAATACTCATGTAAGGCTTAGTGCTTGGTACCTAAAGGTACAGTAGAGAATAAAACACCTTTCTTCAAGGTGCCAATCATCTGGTTGGAGAACATACGGTTAACAAAAAATAAAGATAAAATAATTAGGGCAGAAAGCAGTACTACAGGAGATGAAGAGAAGATCACCAGGGCTAGGATGGTTTTTGGTTGTGTGTATGTGTGTGTGTGTGTGTGTGTGTTTCTAAGGCATTATTGGGAATATATCCTGAGAGAAAAGAGTGGATTCAGATAAAGGAGAAAAGAAGAGGGAGGGAGAAAAGCTCAGAGAATGCTTCCTGAATTAATAATTATTCTGACTATTGTTCTTTTTCATGCAATTTCTCTAGTTACCAACAGAATATAGTTGTATTTGTTATTATCCTCGTAATAGGAAAATGCTTTCTCCATCTTAAAATGAAGAAGTTGAATAGAAATACCAAACTCTAGGGAGAGGGGGAAAAGATGGCGGAGGAGTAGGGGACCCTATTTCAACTGGTCCCCGGAATTGAGCTGGATATCTACCAGACCACTCTGAGCACCCAC